ATGTACACACATAAAATTAAGATAGAAGCAAGGTAAGACAAACCAGAAATGGTGCAAATCAGAATACAGTCTTGTATACAGTTAAAAACAAATTTTGTTCAAAACAAAAATTCCACTTAATAAATATGAACTGTTATTTAAGAAAAGACAATTAGCTATTTATAAGCTATTTTATATACTATTTATAAGAAGAAATTACAATGATCAGGAATTACCCCAGTGATCAATAATTACCCCATCTGTAGGGGGCAACATTTGATATAGTTTCCTATAATCAATTATAATGTTTACAGTTGATGTGAAACAATTAAACAAAAGTTTGCACTATTTTTATATCAAAGAAAAAGAAAGTAACTCAAAATATTTATTATTAAGAGAAGGAGAGGGATCATTGTAGAAATATGCACATTTTGAAACCCATCTTTGAAATGGAAAATATGGAAAGCAGTTTAAAAGATACTTATTTTGTTAGATTAAACAAAAAATTATTATTCAGTAAATGTAGTTATACTTTAGTAAAGTGTACAAGCATTCTTGTTCATGTCTCAAATTTAAAAAAAATAATTTTTTTAAGACGAAACGCAGGTGATCATTATTTACCCCAGAAACAGAGTGATCGTGAATTACCCCGGGTCACCCTACTATTTAGTTTTACATTAAATATGAAACTCTAAAAAAAAATTTTAAAAATTTCAAATCATTACATTTAGTTAAAAAATTCATTTTATTAAAAAATATGCATCAGTTATTGTTGCTACAAAATTTAAAATTTAGCAAAAAGTTTCTGCATTATTTGTATAGCATTATTTTTATGGAAAAGAACGGAAAAGTTTTAACAATGGTTTTTTTTCTCTTTAGATATTTGTACATAGTCCTCATCGAAACACTGTATACAAAGGAGGAAGATGGTCAAGTAATGCATTATCTGGAGATTTAAGTATATTGAACATAAATCAATCCATAACTTGTGTTGCTGCTGGCCCCCTGAAACCAGAGTCCAAAAATGATGTGCTTGTAGTTGGAACTGCAACTAACTTACTAGCTTATGATGTGGAAAATAATACAGATTTATTTTATAAAGATGTAAGTAACTCAAATTTTCACGCTTTGTTAATGTTTTTATTTACTTTATAATGCATTTTAAATTATGAAAATGATTATAATGAATTATTCTATGCATTTCAAAGAAAAAAAAAATTTTTTTTTCAAATATCTTACAAATAAAATGAACTAACTAAAATAATTTACATTAAATTTTATTTGTGCCTGATTTTTATTAATTGAAATTTAATAGAAACTTAAGAGTTACTTTGTCTTTCTCAAAACTTCATTAAGAATATTGTGTTTTGAAAAACTTACGCTGCGACGTGAAAAACTGTATACTTATTACTAGAGCCCAGATTTTAATGGCTTAAAAAAAATCCACGAAAAGCTCTTTAAAATTATAAAAATTGCTAATAAAAACATCAAAAAATGTCCTTAAAATAAACCCTTGTAATTAAACAAGAATTTCAATCTGTGTAATTTTTTTCCTATAATTTCATAAAACATAAAATTGTATTAAAACATATATATGTATTACATAATTAACTTAAGGTGCAAATTTAATGAAAGTTTGAAATTAATGTAAATGTGAAAATTACTTAAACTTAAGTAGAAAGGAGAACAATTTTGATATATGCACACTGGTTTATGTATATCATATACTTTTAAACTTTAATTTTGTGAAATTATAAGAAATCAGAATCACATTGGATTATTAAATTCTGATATTTTGAAATATGAAATAAGTCTCTTGTAACTGAAATGCATTAAATAGTATAACTCAGTTAAAATATGTGAAAATATGAGCATGAGCTAAGTATTCATCTAATTATTTCAAAAGATGCCCTAAAGTTTAAAAAAAAAATAGCCAGAAATCACAAAAAGTGATCTAAAGGGAAAAAGATTTCCCCAAGATCTAAAAAAATGTTCTAAAGGTCTACAAAAAAAACTAAGAGTGCAAAAAATGTGAATGTCATAAAAATCAAAGCCATGCTTATTACTAAAATCATGCTATAAATTACCACTCTAAATTGTTTATATTTTAAAATGATATTTTTCATTTTTGAGGTACATGATGGTGCTAATTGTCTCTTGATTGGACAACTTGGTGCTACAGAAAACCCTTTAGCTATTGTTGGAGGAAATTGCTCTTTGCAAGGTTTTGATCATGAAGGAAATGATGCATATTGGACAGTAAGAGATTGTTTGATGTATAAATTTGTTAACTTCTTTTTAATATGAGCACTTTTGAGTATCATTAGTCAAACTGTGATCTAAGGAACAAGGAATTAAATTTCCATTTTCATGAAATCATTAGGTAATGATTTCATGAAAATTATTATCTAATTGATCATGAAAATCATTATTTAATGAAAATTATTCAAAGCTCAGTTTTAAGGTTTTAAAGAATATCTAAGTTACAAACTCTATTAACTCTATTGTGACCTTACATAAAACTATAATTGTGTGTTTATGATTTAGAAGTGTTGCAATTTAAATTATTCTAATTTTTAAACTGGTATTTGAGTAAAGTATTTAGTTTTCATAATTGTTTCAATAATAAGGTGAGGAAAGTAAGCCATAATGTCCTTTCATATTAAAATCAACGCTTAAGAGAAACTAAACCTAAATTTAAAATCATGACGCCAATCCAACATTAGTTAGAGAGAGTTTATTAGTAGTAATATCTACACAACTTGCACCTTTAAAAAATAAGTGTATTTTCTACTTATTTCTATAAACCAAAATGATTTAATTGAAAATTATGTCTATGGACAATGATTTGATTAAACATTATGTCTTTATGTTGTAAGCTAATTAAAAAATGCGGTTCTCCGCAAACGTTTTTCTGTAAAATGTTTAGTCAATATCTATCTAATATTTTTGAGGCATATTGTAATCAGTTTATGTGTCTTTAAGATGATTAAAAAATATTCAAAAAATCAGACTAAGTTTTCTAAGTCTAATTACAATAAACCTTTAAAAAGGCTATTTGCAATAAGCAATAAGTCTGAAAATTGTCAGATTGATTGGAAAATACTGATACAAAACGAATTGATATTGCTGTTTGTAGAGATCCAGACTATATAAACAACTTATGAATTATGTTTTTGTTTTGTTTTTTACTGAGTTGGAGCAAGATATTTTTTATTCATTCATTCTTAACTAGAATTCTTTTTGCTTTCTTATTATTTTAATTATTATTATTTGAGTTTCTGTTTAAAAAATAATTTTATGGGTAAATGTTCTTATATAACTATTATACTATGAAATATTTGAACTAATATAATATATATAGTTAATTCTTTTTACAAAAACTATATATTTATTACTTTATTGCAATTTTTAAAATTATTATATCAAATTATTATTTTTTTAGGTTACTGGTGATAATGTTAGCTCCATTGCATTATGTGATTTCAACCATGACTCATTTAATGAAGTACTTTTCTCTTTGTACCTATTTTCTACTTTTTTCTTGATTTATATGTATATTCAATATTTAAACATTGTTTAAGTCACTGAAAAAAATCAGATAATTTGCAAGTGGTAATTTTGTTTTTAAAGGGATAAAAAAATATCTGTCTATTATAAGACAATAGTTAGATGTCTTTTTTTTTTCTCTTTCACATTTGTTGTAAATAATATCCAGCATTAAGACATTATAATAAAAATAATGCACCGATGAATAGTTTATTGTGAAGAATAGTAAAACTAAGGTACTTTTCTTTTAGCCCTTAGGAATAATTAGTTTCTTATAGTTTATTTAGAGCAAATTCTCATGAATTTTATTTACCTTTTAATAATTTCTAATTATGTTTCAAATCATTCTGGATCTAAGGTACATAAATTGATAACTAAAATTTAGTAGATGAAGGTTTTATTCTTAACACTAGAAAGACGACTTTTAAATTTTTTGTGGTTCAATAATTCCAAAAATAATTAATTTTTAGCATTGCATTTTTCTTACTTTCATAGTATGACTCTACGTTCTTATTTAATCATTTAGGTTTTGGCCTCATTTGAGAAAAAATATTGAAACTTATACTTAGAATGATGGTAGGAGCCAAAGTGGCCCTGAGAGCTTTTGCAATATTACAGAGATACCTATCTCTTTTTGTAATCCCTATAACACGCCTTTGTAGTTTTAAATTATAATTTTGAATATATAAGCTACAGATATTTTAATTTCATGTAAAGAGCTGATCAGAAACAAGTAACTTAGTCACAGAACTTTATAAATAGCTCCTTTGTCCCGGCAAGTCATTAAAAAATACAGCTAAGACAATAAAACCATCATATCTATAAATAGATATGATGGCACTCTAAATAAAAAAGAAAATGCAATGTAGTAAGAAAAAAATCATACTTGGTACACATGCTTGTATTTGAACAAATGTATTTTAAAAAATGTAGTGCATTAATTTTCATAAAAACTGTACAAAAATCAAATAATTTTGGTTAGTGTCAGTTTTCTTAATTGAAAAGAAGTATTTCAGTTTATTTTTCATTAAAAAATCGATAATTATTATCTTTTATTAAGAGTAAAAACTCAGTTGGGCTCTTGCTGCACTTCAAGAAGAAAAAGAACATGGATGTCCACACATGTGCCTATGGCGTCAGTGCCAGCTGATCATTTATAAGGGAAATGGCATGTTAAAGTTGAACTAAGTTTCTCCACATAAGTTAGAATGTAAATTAAAGTGAAGTTGATTAAATACAGCGCCATACTGCACATGAAATTTTTTGTAATTCTTTCTCATCTCTGTCTGTTACTTAATTTAGATTTATTGTTTTATTGTAACCATGATATATTTTTGTTTTGTGTGCTGGGCAACTACAATGCATAGTTAGTTTGTTTATGTTGTACATGTCTTTGTGCCTGTCTTTGTGTTAAGTAAGAAATATATAATGAAAGAATTGAAATCATTGTGTAAGAATATAGAATGTGTCACTTCAAAGAATTTTAACTTGACGGGCTTGTCTAACTCAAAATAGAATTCAAAAAACAGTTGCTAATGTAAACAAGTGCCATATTTTAACAACCAATCAGGATCGAAATACTCACACTATATCACAGGATCCCATTATCCATAACAACAAGGTTTTAGTGTAACTGAAGAAATCAAAGTTTCATTCACTCAGACATTTTTGTTAATCAAACAGAAAAAAAATTTCAATTAATTCTAATAATCGAGCTTCTACTATACATTTACAAAAATTTTTTTTACCTTATTTTAAAATATTAGGTTCATATGCTTGGCTCTCCAATCTCAAAATAATTTAGGAAATGTCATGCTTCCCCCTTTCATCTTTCTTAACTATTTTTATATTATAACCATCATTGAGCAGTTTTCTAATTTATAACCACTGAAATTAATTTGTTATCAATTAAAGGTCTATATTAAACTTCTCCTATTTAACAAAAACAATTCAACAAAAGCTGATTATTATATGTATATTACACTTTTATCCTTAAATATTATAATACATTTATATTTCTCATAATATATTTATCATATATTTATATGTATTTATCTTTATCATTCTTATTTAGTTAATTGTTGGTTCAGAAGATTTTGATATACGGGTGTTTCGAAATGATGTAATTATTGCTGAAATGACTGAGACAGAAGCAGTTACTGGCCTATGTAAAATAATGGGTCAACATTTTGGCTATGCACTTGCTAATGGAACTGTTGGAGTTTATAAAGGTTTAGATAGAGCTTGGAGAATAAAGGTAAGTTAAAATATTTAAATGATTAAAAATATTTATATATTTTTGAAACTTATTCATTTTTATTAATATTTAGANTGGCTATGCACTTGCTAATGGAACTGTTGGAGTTTATAAAGGTTTAGATAGAGCTTGGAGAATAAAGGTAAGTTAAAATATTTAAATGATTAAAAAAATTTAGCAATTAAAAATATTTATATATTTTTAAAACTTATTCATTTTTATTAATATTTAGAATCTGTGTATTAATTTATTTTTGATAGCAAAACATAATAAAGTTATGTTATAAGTTAGAATTTTTTATTGGAATAGAAGGATTGCAGAATAGTTATAAAAAAAATATAATATCAGCAGGCTCTACTAAAAATTGTTTTATTAGTTTAGAAATAGATTTTTTTGTTATTTTTTTAAACTTTTAATAATAATTATTAATTCAAAAATCACTCTTTCGAAAAGAAAAAAACTTATTATTTCAAAATTTGAACAATGAGAATCGTTTTGAAATACATATTGCTTGTTTCATCATTTATAAATATTTACATTCCATATAAATTTTAAAAGTGAACAAGAATAAAAATAAACTTAACTCTGTTTATAACTTAGAAGTGATTATGAATTTCTTTAATCATTAACAATTTTGAAAGTATTAAATAGTATCAAAAATGTTGATAGTGTTTGATGTATTGAACTTTTTAAATAAAGAACGAAAAACTGTTCACAATGAAATGTATTAAATGCCCACATATCTACTATCAACTATTTTGTATCATTTGATCATTTTCAATCATTTGATGTATATTGAACCTGTCCGCATTGTGTTAGCATTTTTATGAAATTTGTTATACTAGTATTTTCTGAGAATTTTCTGTTGTATTATATCAGTTAAAGTTTTTCAAAGATTTAAAGTGTTCAAGAATAATTTAAGTTTATTAAAACATTTTTAGGAAAATTTTAAATGGTTGTAAAATATAATGTTTAAGAAATGTTAGTTACCGTTTTATTTTTAGTCTATAAATCAAGCTATGCATTTAAATAGTTATGACATAAACATAAGTAATCTGAAAACATAAATACTGCTATCAATACTTTTGATAGTATTTAATATATATCGAACTTATTAGCTTTATTTTAGAATTTTTTGAAATTAATTAAAAATTTTACAAAGATTTAATGTGTACTAGAATAATTCAAGTGTCAAAGTAATAATGTTGTGGAACATTGCAAATGTTTATAAAATGTAAAGTTTTATAAATATTTATAAGGGTTTATATTTTCAGTCTAAAAATCAGGCAATATGTTTAAATAGTTATGACATAGATGGAGATGGAGTTCCTGAAATAATCACTGGTTGGAGTAATGGCAAGGTAAGTTACCTTTTTAAATTTTCATTTACTTCATAATTTCCTTGTTCATTGATTATAAAGTTTATTTTACGGTGCTGTAAAAATTTTATAATAATTTGTTACATCGCTATATTTTCATATGAAATAGATATAACAGTATAACTTTAAAAACCATGGGATATTAAAAATTCAATGATTAATTATTATAATTTTAATTAGTAATTATAATATTAATAAATTGATAATTAGAATCATTATTTTCAACTCACGAGGAGAAAAAAGTAGCTGAACCAATTTTAAACAGGAAGAATTGAGGCTGAAAAAATGAAAGCTCTGATGAAGTTTACATTTTAAAGTTGTAAAAGAAATTAAATTTATTAGATTTGTGTTAGTTATAGAATGTAGTAAGATTGTTTGTATTGTGGGAAGAATAGTTACAGACCATGTCAACCTTCATCTATGAATAGGTACCCCACCATAGAATCGAGTTAACCTGTCTTATATACTAGTGAATTGGAATTGTAATTTTGTAGTAGTAGATACGCTACAGTATGTTTAAAGAACTTTTGTACAAATTAAAACATTTTATTTTTTCAAAATGAATAGTTTTAGATAATATCAGCAAGTACAATCGAAAATGATTTTTATTCTTGGTTTAACAGTAGGTTTTTTTTCTTTTTATGCTGCCAGTGATGATTAATAGTTTACTAAATATTATTCCAGAAAAGAACTTCATCTTTAATTTCAATTTTAAATTTACAAAATTCTCCATTTTTAGATTGATGCTCGAAATGTTCAGACAGGTGAAGTTGTATTTAAAGATAACTTTTCTCATTGTATTGCCGGCATAGTAAAAGGGGACTACAGATTATCTGGCAAAGAGGAACTAATATTTTGTGCAACTGATGGAGAAGGTAAGAAAGTCAGTATCAGTATTTTTCGTGAAAAACAATGTTTGCAATATTTGTGACTCAATAAAAGTTCAAAACTGCATTAATATCAAGATATCTTCAGTACTTTAAGGAAAAAAAGTATTTTTTAAATTTTTACGTAATATCAAAGTATTTTTATGTTCTTAACACATTACTGACCGTCTACATTTCCGTGGAATGGATGTGGAAGTAAAACAATATAAATAAACTTTAAAATTTTTTATTTATTATTCAACTCTTAATATTTCTTTTCATGTGTTAAAAAATACAACAATCACCTACATGTAATGGTACACCTTGACTTGACTTGATATAATGTAAAACAAAGTACCTGCCGGCGAAGCGGGCATCTGATTTCTTCTTCTGACTAAACTTTTGCCCTTAGGCAACTGGGTCTTTTGGCTTGTGAAAAAATGGGAAATTCCACAGAAGAATTCTGTGGTCGTCTTTAGTGAATTTTCTCCCCATCTATGCCTTTGTAGCTGGGTAATGGTACACCACAAGTTTTGCAATTACATCAGGTTTTGTAAAGTTATAATAAATTGTGGTATAGAATTAAATAGTAAAACTTGAAAAGTAAGGAGAATTACTCCCACTTTTTAAAATAGTCACCACGAGATCACTGCTAACATGATTGCTATGACTCGTGACCGGTGACCAACGCTTGGCCACAAAAGCACGAGTTAACTCGTGACCGGTCAGCGATGTGTTAATAATTAACTTATTCATAATTACTATCTTTTATAATTTTAATGTAAAAAGAAACATTGAAGAAGGTAACTAATTTAGTGATATTTTGGTGTATACTGGCTGGAAGTGAAAACAAATCCAGCTACTTAAGCAATAAAAGTACAAACATAAATTGATGCAGTGTTTGCAACTTACGTTTTGAAATGTTGCGGCGTATATACAAGTCTATTCAGCTACCACATTCATCTATATAGAAGGTTGTGAAAAAAGGAAGAAGTGTAACATATCAATAATGAGAATAATTTATTTAAATCAATGCTTTAATGTGTGCTTTGGAAATTTTTTAGTTAGAGGTTATGAAGCTACTTCTGCAGAAATGCGTCATCACATGCTGGATGCAAATTTTGAACAAGAAACTGTTCGAGATCTTTCTCAAAAGAAGCAGGTAAACAAAACTTGATTATGTTTATTTTTTGCTATTTGACTTAAGAGATTTCTATAAAACTTTAGCCAATTTTCTCACCATGCTTTAACCACCTGTCACTTTTACTAACACAAAACTATGAAGAATATTTCTCACTGACCCTTCATTTTTGAATTTAACCTTATTTCAGAGATGCCAAATTGAATATTTTCGAGTTGTAATCTTTTAATGTATGATTCTTTGTGTAGTAAATTCGATTTATAGGATTTTTACTCACCACTGCTTCTAAATAATTCAAAACCTTATATGATATGCCCCTCTACGGCATTCTATCTGTGTTTAGAGTTTTAATAAGTTAAGAAAATTAACCAAAATCTGCAAAATGTAGTTTGAAGTTCTCTACTGGTTTTTAAAATATTTTGTCTTGTCTGGAGCAGTTGGCATCTCTGTCATTTATACATAAACGTCACACTTCAGAGATTTAAAAAAATTGTATAAATTCTTCTATGATACATCAATCTTAACATGCATGTAATTTTAATTATGAAAGGTGATATTACTAGTTAATTTTTTTAAATGGTAGCAACAACAATGCTGGAACTGGAACTTAAATTTATTATGTTTTGCTATTTAAAAATGCAGATTATTTAAAAAAATCATTACGTGAAATGAATAAGTCATAAGAGTTTTAAATAAATTATAAGAATTTTACTTTTATAATTACATATTTCTTGACCTAATTTATTGTGCTCCACGTTTTCATTTTACAAAATTATCTTTTGTATATTAGTGCATTATTAAAAAATAGTTATTGTTATATCTGAGTATGGTTTTTACTTACATTGCAGCTTTTGATGTATTTTAAATGTTTTGTGTTGGAAATTGCATGCTCGACTTGACTGTTATTAATGTTTTGTAATTGAATTTTCCTATGAACCAATAATCTGTCTTACAAAATAGTAGGCGTTAGTTTTATTATGTATTAATTAATAAAAATTTTATTTTATAAGATTTATCATTACTCTGTAATAAAGTGATAGGGCATAAAAGTAATTTGTGGATGATTACATAATACAATGGACAATATAACAACAACAAAATAGCATTATATAGCAATACCTACATTAACAAGTTTCTTAGTTTTTTACTATTTTAGATTTAATATCAAAAATTGTAGTTTTTAAGCATTTTGTATTAATAAATATTTATATTTGTAACTTCAATCACATAGAAATTGTAACATCAGTCACAAGATCGCTTTTTCTTTTCTTTTTTTTTTCCACTTTCTATATGTCATTTCATGAGTACTTTATGTGCTTCTTTTTAATCTAAAGATTTTTGAGATAATTTTTCTTAAAAAAATAATCACATTATTGCTCATGAAAAAGGGGGCTTTCAAAATGTTAATATGGTGTTTTACTCCACGTCCTTTTTATGTAACATCAGTCACATTTTTATATTTTTATTTCAAATAAAACATTTATAATTTCCATCTCTTTTTCTTACATGCATAGTAATATAAGACTATTTGAAAGCATCCCATAAATATTATTTTTTTAAAAAATATTAAATATTTAACAATGAAAAAAAAATTTTAAAATAAGAAAAAATGTCAAGGTGTAACATTAGTCACCATGAAATCGCCCTTGTTTTCAAATGACTAATTAATAAACTAAGCTATGATGAGAGCTCAGTTAAACTATGATCAGTCATTTGTTAGGCTTTTAAATTCAAATTAGCTTTTATCATTACTTATTTTCTGCATTTTATTATTTTTTTACTGTACGACAATCCGTTTTATTCATAAATGTGTTAGAAAACCACTCATAATTCTCTTTTCACCGTTTTTACAGGCTTTGCTTTTAGAGCTGAGAAATTATGAAGAAAATTCCAGAATTGGAAGTGGCAATATTAAAACTACAGGTAGAGCAAGTCAACAGCATGATGAATATGGTGTTATCCCTGTAAATATATATTTAACTATGTGTGATTATAAATATTTAAGATTTTATTATATCCTTGATATTAAACATTGTTTCCCAAATTTTAGGCTACAACACAATTGAAAACAGGACTAGCAATCAATTTGGGATCTGATAAAATTGGAGTAAGTTTTAGTTAAACAATTTGACATATTATATACAGATTAAATTGTAAATAATGCACGATATCTAATGTTTATGAAATAAACATGCAACTTTCACTTTTTTTGTTCGTGAAACATAAATAATATATACACATTGGGAGCAATATAATATATATTTATAAAGTTTCGAAAGATTTCTTTTTCTTTTCATCGAAAACACATCGTGTCTGATAAAATTATAAGGGAAATATAAATGCGTCACAAAAAATCTCAAAATTCTACCCAGAGGCACAATTTCTAGGGAAGTTAATCAGAAAAATATTTTTAACTGCTCTTGTTAAACAGGTGAAAAGATTTAAAAATTATAATGAGTAATTTTAAAAAACAAATGACTTATTGCTGCTTTAAGTTTCAAACTAATCATTGTTTTTACCAATTAATGCATCATTTTGCAAAATTTTTTAATTTTCATGCAATGTGTTAGATTATATAAAAAAATATTTTAAATTTATTTTATTTCCTATGAGATTATATTTTGTATTCATTATAAACATATTTATAAAATGCAATGCATTTTCCTTTTAAAGAAGGAAAATCAAGGTATTCAAGAAAAGATAAGAATTTCCGATTATGATTTTATGATTTTTCAAGGTATTTATCATAGTTGATCACTAAAATAGTTGTTAGTTGATCACTAAAATAGAAAACCAAACAAGACGTTTGTCTCACTCCAATTGCAAAATCATCATGGTATAAATAACTATATATAACTATGATTAAATTATTTGTATTTTTTGAATGAAATTAAGCTCGACTTCTTAATGAATATTCTGAACGATATAGTAAAGATAATTATTTAACTATATCTGGTTTTAATTATAATTATTTTGTTTTATGTGTGGTTTGAAGTCAACACTTTTTTCAAATACTTCTTTTCATTGTAAAGTTGTAATTCATTGTTAACTTAGTCAATAATAAAGTGGCGAGTGACATTCTGAAATTTTTCCATATTTTGAGTCTTATTATTTATTGTAATTTCAAGCATATTAATTTTTTTTTTGGAGAATTTATATATATAGTAGTCAATAATAAATTTGAGATGAAGTGTTCTGAAAATGCTTCATATTTTGAGGTATAATTTTTACTGTAATTTTTAACATGATTTTAACGTTTTTCTCTTATTCGGAATTTTATTTATGTACAATATGGTATCCTATATTTTTCCAAAACATTATATAGATACATAATATTATATATATAAATTTTCTTAAAAGAGAAAAATTTTTTTTATATAATATACTATATTTTCCCAAATATTATACATATCAATAAAAATGAACTTTTTAAAAAAACTTTCTTTCTAGAGTCAGTGTTTCTTAGTCACCAAAATAATACCTAGCAACTTCTTTTGAAACATCACAATTTTCTTACAATATTTTCATTTTTTAGCCTCATATAGAAATAACCCTGGAAACTACAAACAGCACTATTATTAGAGCCGTCCTGATATTTGCTGAAGGAATATTTGATGCAGAATCACATGTGATGTAAGTAAGCTGATTTCAGCTAAGTTCACTCTCTTTTTCAATTTGACTCAACTCATAATACTACTTATCTCCCAGCCATCCGAAAGAAAATCAGTTGTCATCATCAATTCAAATTCCTCTTTGGCCTCCAAAAGATATACCTATTGATTTGCACATCAAGGCAATGATAGGATATAAAGGAAGGTAAAAAATAAATTTTATATATTCATTTTACGTTCAAAGGATATATTAATTTTGCGTTCATTTTGCATTACAAAACGTTCAGACCCTGTTTTATTTAGTTAATTTTATACTCATTTTATAAAAATTAAATTCTTTTATTAATGAATGTTCCCAAGAAACTGAAAAAGAAAGATATACTTATAAAAAGTTCATTTGCTTCAAAAACTATGAGAGTGGTAAAAATCGACATCTTTAGAGGACTAAAAAATAGGTGCCCATTCTCAAGACGCTTGAATGAGGAAAACAAAAAATATTTGAAACAGAAAATGTGAACCTTCTAACGAAACAAAGTTTAAGTTTTTATTTTTCTACTTTATTTATTTTCCATTCTGTGTTTTTCGTTTTCAACTTTAGGTTTTCTATTTCAAATTTCCTTTGTTTTCTTCATTCATGTCTATCTTGTGAATGGGTACCTATTTTTGAGGTAAAACATGGTGACTATTACAACCTTCATAAGTTTTTGAAGCAAATGAGGTTCCTATATTTTTAATCTGCTCTTAATAATCAATTATGTCTCAAATCTGATCTTTATAATTAATTTTACCATATATCTGCTTTTTATAATAAATTCTGCCTCAAATCTGCTTTTTATAATCAATTTTGTCTCAAATCTGATTTTTATACTCTATTATGCTTCAAATCGTCTCTTTATAATCAATTCTGCCTCAATTCTTCTTTTTATAATAAATCCTGCTTAAAAGTATTTGCTATTCCACCAAATACGTACTGCTTTCCTATTTCATATTCTAGCATTCATTTTCATGTGTTTGAGTTAACGAGGCAGTTACCTAGATTTTCAATGTATGCTCTTACACCAGATCACACTGAAGAAGAGCCAGAAAGCTATGTTAAGTTTTTCCTGAATGATAGAATACAAAGGGTAATTACGTTTAAATTTTTCAAAATTTCTTTTATTTCTGGTTTCTAAATTTATTATATTCTACAAACTACTTAAATAAAAAATGCAAGATTTAAATATAAAAATGTCATGTTATTTTATAATTTATCTGTATATAGGTTTTATCTTGGATCAATAGCAACTTCCTTCTTATGCAAGACTTGGAATTTACTAATCAGCTCAATTTAAGATTCACTTGTCTTAGATCACAACAGCCTTTATTAATTACTATGGATTCATCATCAGAGGTATAATAAATGTTTTAAATTGCACTGCTCTTTTATCAAAATTAATGAATCTTTGAAAAAATATCTGTAATTAATTTATTTTTTAATTCTTCATTGATTGAGAATCATATTAACTATTTTTGTTTTATTCTTATTTCAAGTTCTAACTAAAAGTCAAATTTTCAAGTCTCATTATAGTGAAAGATAATTTTTTAAAGGAATCCTCAAATTTATTTATTTTTCAATTTATTCTGAAATTCTTATTCAACCTATTAAATGATTTTTATCTAAAAACATATCTTTTTAGCACCATAAACAACTTTCCTCCTTAACTATTGCAATGAATGATACAGTGTTTTTACTACATTTTACAAAGCAATAAATTTTCTTTCAACATTTAAATCTTATGTAAAAATGGGAGATCATAAACTATCGATTTTATATTTTTTGCTGAAATAATTTTGTTTAATTTTAGGTTTTCATAAAAACTGATGATATGGAATTGGCTGGTGAGCTTATACAATCTTTAGCTCAGTTCCTTACAGTAGAAGACCTTGCAGTTACAGCTCATTTTCCTCAAGATACCGATAATTTATCTCAGTTGTTGACTAAGGTACTTTAATGTTACTTTTCCATTAGTAATCAAATTAATGTATTTCTTTATGCTTTAATGATTGTAGACTTTAGACTTATTTCAGTGACTAATGACTTTAAAAACTCTATAATAGCCTGGTCGGTAGGGCGCTGGACCCATGTCCCAGAGTTCGTGGGTTCGAACCACTCCGGCCGAGGACTCCCCGTGTAGTAAAGTGACTGATGCACGTTAATTCTGTCGAGTCGCAAAATTCCTCCATGTTCCCATAACAAATCAATACCTCTGGGAGGTACTGGATTGGAGATCGATCGTTCTCTGATTCAGGTCAAAATTACGATCTGTGGATGAATGAATAGATGTATGAATAGGTCCGCCCTATAAACGGGTGTGACGTATGGTGTGGCAGAAGTCGAATTCTTGGCCATAGATGGCTCCACTGGAAAACAAGAACAATCACACATCCTCTACCTAAACAGGCATACGTCAACAACAACATTATAAAGTAGAGAATTTTTTTTATATAATGAGATATTTTAAAAATTAAATTACATTTTTGTTGCAATTTTTAAAAAATTAATCATCTACAATTTTCAGTTTTTTTTTCTCTGCTTAAAAATGAATAGTGCTTTAATAAGGATAAAATATAATGCATATTTAATATAAGCCAACCAGGTGGCCGAGTGGTTAGGGTGCCTTACTGCGGAGCCGATGGTTGCGGGTTTGAATCCTAATCAGGGCATGGATGTTTCTTTCTCTCTCTGTGTGTTCTATGTCCTTTCTCCTTTGTGTGTGTGATTGTGTGAATGTGACCCGCCCTATAAACGGGTTTGTGGTTGTGTGACATGGGCGACGTTGCTCCACCGCTGTGACTTCGCTACAGGTGCCCACTGGGGAACGAGAAGAGAGTAGCAGTCTTGGCATATGAGGCCAATGGGACAATACATCCCAAGTGCTCGCCATTTAAAAAAATATCATAAATATATTAAAAATATATATGCCCTTGAAAATACTGTAATACTTTAAATTTTTTTATGTAAATCAATATGTTGTAAATCAATTTTAATTTTAAAATATTATATTATTAAATATTTGTTATAAATATTTGTTATAAATATTCTATAGGTCAATGATTATCAATCTGTGCGCCAGCAACTATCAGCCGATATGGCTGATAATTCAGGTTTAATACGAAACCTTGTAGTTCGAGCAGAAGATGCTCGTCTCATGAAAGATTAGTAAGCAATTTTAATTTCTAACCTCTTCAAAAATTATAATGTAAAAAAAGTTTAACTGAGTAATTCTAATCAATATAGTTGAAAAATCACAGGCTCAAAAGAAGAAAAAAAGAACATAATATTTGCTTGCAATTATAAATTTCATTTTGACATGCCTTTTGAATAAATTTACCATTTAATGAATTTTTTGCATTCATATTTATTTTTTTTATCTGCAATTATTTTTTATTTTATTTTATTTATTGATTGATTATTTTACGTATCATTTTATTCATTTTTGAAGTAAAATTTATGCATCATATTTTACTCTTGGAAAAAAATTATCTTAGTATATCTACTGCCTTTTTTTTAAATGAAAACAAACTTTCAATTTCCTTTATTATAACTACCTTGGTAAATTTAATATAAAATTGCTAAAATTTAATCCAAAGCACAAATTGTGCTATCTGTATCCATGCAAAATTTGCATGAACAGATGAAGTTTTAAATTTGGTTTTCTTTTTTAATAGCTGCAATTTTGAATTTTTTTGAAAACTAGCTCGAATTTTTTTTCTTCCTCTTTATAAATATATTAGCTAAATTACACAGAACTCATAAATGCAAAACAAATTAAATTTTGAACTGGATTAGTGTAATAGAATACTAATTATACTAATTAGTGTAATAGAATCTATGCTTTATGCTTACCCACAATATTTTATAAGAATTTTATACAAATATAATCACTTTCAAAATCTTTTATCATATTTTTCCTAAAATTTTATAGCCTTTTTAAGGCATAAATTTTTTTATTGTAGTGGCAAAAAAGTGAAATACCTCTATTAATGAATTCCCTGAGGAATCGTGCCATAACTTTTTAATAAATACAGTATAAAATATAAAATTAATAATCATAACAACAATTATTTTCTTAAATGATAAATTGGTTACAATTTTATGCATTTTTTTTAAATACTTGGCTTGTTTCTTTAACTATTACCTAGGAAAGGTTAGAAACAACATTCCTTACTTTTGAAATCTGTATACTCCCAAGTTTATTTTGTCTCATCATTGCAGCATACATTTAGAATTCTTTATTATTGGTTTTTAAATCCAAATATAATTTTTTATAATGAGTCCAAATAATTATAGTTTATACTTCAATTAGTGTTGTGTAGAATCACTTTTTTTAACAATATATTTATATTTAATCTCTTAACATAGAAATTACATTTCGAAATATTTGTTTGTTTTTTCATCGCAGCCCTCTTATGAGACAGTGGCATCAAGATTTACACACTTTAAATAATGAGCTTATAAACAACTACAAGATACGATCCAATAATCATGAAGAATTAATGACATGTTTGAAGCAAGTAAATCAAATTATTCAAAGAGCAGGAAGACTCAGAGGTATTTATGAATTACATGTCTATAATTGGATTTTATTTTTTAAGAAAATTTCATTTGTTATTCTATTTTTAAACAAAATAAACATTAAAAAATTGATAATTCGAACATATTTGCTAAATATATGTAATAAACAGCAATTTACTTTAAATGCTGGATGTTTGACAGTATATAGAGAGAAATTATAGATTACTGAAAAAATCTTAACTCTGATTTTGACTGTAGTCTGTTTAAATTGTAATTACATTAATACTAGTTCAAATATTTAACAAGCAATTGAATTTTTGAGAGGAAATAGCTGTATTAAGTACAGTAGTTGGAACTAGCAAGCTTCCGGGTTGTTCAGAAAGCAATTTCGTTTTTTCCTGCAGAGGGCTGTGTTGTATTTTTTTCACAGCCGACTTCACACCTAAGTCATATAATTATTGTAAATTTTGAAAGCCAATATAGGAAAGCATATTTGTGAAAAAGTTCGATTGATTCTTTATAGTTTTTGGTTGGTACCCATTCAAAAATATAGAAGGTAAAAAACAGCATTTTCGGCATATGTTACTATCGATATAGGTAAAAATGCTGTTCAAGCAAGAAAAAAATTATCCCATGTGTATGGAGAAGATGTATTGACTGTACACCAGGGCCAAAATTGGTATGAAAAATTTCGATTTGCCAATATTTTGATTGTGGCTGGGTGGCGCAGTTGGTTTGTCATCGGCCATCTGAGCCCAAGTCTGCGGGTTCGATCCCCGACCCAGACACCGGATTTTCGGGATGCAGAAAATCCTCAGAGGCCATGTCGTATGATTATGCGGCATGTAAAAGATCCCTGGAGTGCCTTATTGGCTCTTGGCATTTCCTTTTGCACTTTAGCATCCAAATAGAGTCTCGGTGCTGCCATCTAGTGTGTGGCAGAAACTAGACATCCAAATTAACATGGCTAACGGTATCTCATCCATTGTGGTGGTCCTGAAAGAGTGGATGCCACTTCCGGCGAACGCACTAGGTCTGCTCATCGGGAAGACTGATTGTGCAGCTCATAGGAAATATTTTGATTAAGATACACAATGACAGTTTAGCTTATGAAGACTCAATAAAGGCATTAATTGATGGAAACTGGCGAATAACAATTTGTAAGATCATTAACGAATTCGTCTGTTCGTAATTATTTGAAACGTCTAGATTTATCTCAAAGCATGATATATGGGTTCCCCATATCCTTACGTAAAGATATTTGTGCTGTTGCATTAGACGCCTGTGATTTGCTTCTCAAACGTCAAGAAATTATTCCTTTTTGAGGCACATCGTCACTGGGGACAAGAAATAATTTGTCGAAAATATTTGTCCATTAACTTTTTAGACATTAATACCTTTAACTCAAAAGAGGAAGTCAAAAGTTGCCATATTCATTTGAGGAAGTGTTTTTGCCAGTATTGAACAAACATTTTATGAGCTGGGAATCATGCTACTGCCACAAAGATTACAAAAAGTATTGGACCAAAACGGATAATGTATAATTCAATAAAATATTTATTCACTATAAGAAAATTGTCCTTCATTTTCATGTGGAAAAGACGAAATTACTCTCTGAACAACTAAATACAAGTAACGAAACTTCTCTAGTTGCTACTTTTTTTGAAACTTTAATTGTATTGTGCTGTATTTTTTTTAAAGTAGTGTAGTGTGTAACAACTACTAATACTACACAGAACAAGAAAACCTCTACTTTGTAGCGATTTCTGACAACGACTTTTAATGTTAATTTTGTGAACAAAGTTCAAACGCAATAAAACTTTTGAATCTGATTGGTGCACATGTTACGTGAGTCAGTCAACAGGCGCAATGAGAATGTCTGTTTGACAGAGTGTTTTAGATTTTATCTAGCCATTATGAGCTACAGCTAATTTATCCATCCGCTCATAACATATCTATGCCTTCAAATGCTAATGTTACTTAGAATTAAAATTGAAAGAATGTGTGTAACATATTTTCCTCTGTAACTCTATGTACTTTATTACAAATATATAATCATTTTCTACTGTTTTTTAATTAAATATTCATTGTTAAAATAGGCACAAAAAGTTGAAGGCTGGGAGAAAAATTTATAAAAAATGACTTAAAATAATAAATTTATAATAGATTTACATAATTATATTATTTATAGCCATTTCTTTGGAATTTCCCATCTTAAAATATTCAAATTTATTTTTCTTAACAAATTTTTACGAACTTTTTCCATATCTTGCAACAAATAATTGAAATATAACGAAATCGATCTCAAAAATTGTGATTTACTTTTTCTATTTTCATTAATGTATACTAGACTTTCAGAAACACATTGTGGGTAACAAATAATTTACAAAATTGTTTTTAAAATTATGCAAAATGTAATATTTTTCTATATTAGACAATAACAACTATCTCCACAAATATTCTTATAGATTCATGCAATTCAAAACCATGTATGGGTTATAAATATTAATACTCGTCATGACGCTGAATTTTTTCTAAATATTTCAAAATGTGGACTTCTTTTTTTTTCAGTGGGAAGACCAAAAACTCAAGTTATCAATTTTTGCCGTGCTGCTATCAAGAATAATGATATAACAGCTTTAATCAAAGTTATTGAAACCGGAGAGCAGTGATGATTAATTATGTCTAAAATGTCACATATTCTAGTCAAGAAAAACACTTTATATTTTATTTTTTAAAGTGTACTATTTTTATTTTAAAATCTATAAAATATTTTAGATGACTTGGTCATTTTGTGAATTAGTTAAACGCTTGTGTGCTTTAAACCTTTATGTAAAATGTATAATTATAGTCAAAGAAGATAAGACCCCTACTTCTCAGCATGTATTGACTTTTAATCTGATTTCTTGGATTTGATTATTAAGTATAAATATGAATGTAAAAATTTTATAAATATAAGATTTTTATAATTAAAAAAATAGTTTGAGTTATAAAAAAATACAACTAATCAAAACTAATGGAATACGTTATTTAAAAAACAGGCAAAATAATAAATGATCTTGTATTAGGGAACGAAAATTTCTTTAAATTATCAACAACAAAAATCAACTTATTTAACTTTTTGAATGGAAAATAAAATCAATGTTAAAGTTGATATTTTTTCAAAGGATTCAAAATTACTTTCAATTATTGAAAATTTCAGTTATAGATAAATGTTCTAGTAATAAAAGTTTGACTATATTTCAAGCTTAAATTTAATCAGTCTCTGCGATATATTTTGATCTTTTAAATGTAATGTTGTGAAAATTATTTGTTAATTGTTTATTTTTATTTACTTATTTTTCATTTCATTTATTTATTTATTTTACATAGCTGAATCCAATATATTAAATTAGATTATCAAACTATCTCTGATAATTTGGGTTAAAAATTGTTGAGAAAAACATCGTTCTCACTTCAGACGATATAATATTTATAGCTATGAGTATCTCTTATTCTATGATTTTATATTTTAAACAAACAAGAAAACTAGGCATGAAATTGAAATTTAATAAATTTCTTCAGTTTATCATGTAAAATTCATTGATTCTTTGTTTTGAGAACCTGATTAAAAAACTAGACTAATTTCAGCATTAGCTACATAAAAATGGTAAGATAGATACTAAAATGTAATATTCTAAACTAAATAAAACGGAAAAGAAGTCTAAATATATATCAAATTTATTTTAATAACACTATTTACATATAAATTTATGATATAATAAGTTACGGTACATAAATAGTAAGAAAGAAAAGAATAAACAGTAAAACTCAAAATTAAAATACTGAACTCATAATAATATGTTATATACAAGTCTATAAATATATTTAAAATGAGCACACATAAATATAAACAAAAAGCAGTTCAAATAGTTATTTTTCTGTAAACATTTTAATGATATGTACAGAAATATTTGTCCAACGGTGTAATTTAAAATAAATTAAATTACAACACAACACAAATTTTTTATAGTATTTTTAGAAAATTCATTAAATAAATTACATTTTAAAAAGTGAGCTACCACACAAACACATTATGTATATATGCACAAAATTTTAGATAAAAGTAGAATTATTTTATCACTGACGACTATGCCATGCAATTGTAAAAACAAAGTACAACTTTTTAAATTACTAACATTGCTTTTTAAATTGCACGATAGAACAGACATTTCTTGTAAATAAATAGGAGCATTATTTGTAAAATTCTCATGACTAGTCTGTAAATTTTAAAAAAAATGTATATATCTTTGGTTTAAAGTAAATGCTTCCATACAAACTACCATAATAGTAGTAACTTACCATACAGTTATTTCTTATTATAGTCTAAAATAAAAGTACAGTTAACTTCTAATCATATGCAGGTTTATTATCTTTACGATTTATCTGAAGTTTTGTTCTAAAACAAACTCATTCGCAAATTGTTTTTTAGTATTTTGTTCAAACCAGATTCTGTCTCATAATAATTTATACACAATTCAAGTGCCTTTTTTTGTCCTTATTACATACATTACCACAATATTTTTTTTATATGAGATTCAGTGCCAGATATTTTGTTCGTATGAGATTCTGCCATATATAGTCAGCTTATAACTGTAAGTAATTGTAAACAATAATTATTTTTTGTTGCATTTGTTTTCATAGTGTGATTAATTCATTTAAATTAATTTATACAATAAATATGTGCATTTTTATTAAAAAACAAATGAATAAAATAAATTTTATTATAAAACGATTGAACTAATATTCCAATTTATTTATTCCAGTATATCGTATTAGGTTTGTGATGTGATAAAGAAACTCTGATTAAACAATAATCACAATGCAGTTGAAAATAATATCTCATTTCATTTTAATTCAAATTTATGAAAATATAACAAATTGGTCTTCCGCTTTATTTATTTTTAATGGGGGCAAAAGCGGTAAGATGTATATGAAAATGTAACATAACATAAAATAATAAATTCTAAGCTTGAAAATGAACTTAGAAAATTGGCATGTTTTAATTCTGCTAAATGGCAATTAGTTTGCTATCCGTAGTTCAAATTGGCTATTAATTTTGAATTTTAAATAAAGTTAGACACCAAAAGGTGAAAGCTTAAAATATAACGGGTGAGAAGTGATTGTAAGACATACTCCATTAGGTAAGTTAAAAAATAAAATGAAAAAGGAAATGAGCAAAGTCTTATTTAAATTTAAAGCATGTTAAAAATGTAAATCTTTTAGTGAAAGTGAATTAAAAGAAATAATATGTTAAAATATTATTATTTCAATACGACAGCAACAATTCATTTAAATTTCATTAATCATTTCTTAATTGCCTTGTTTCATTTAGTTCGAGAAAAAAAACTTAATAAAAAAATACATATGGACACTAAATAACATTTTGTAAATCTTGTTTGTCCGAAATCTCTTCATGTAATATACCTTAACAATTGACCTCAAGGAAGTCAATATTAAATAAATAATCATTGAAACTATAATATAAAATGCACACATATAATTGTTCAACCTAATTATAACGAAACAAACAATAACGGAAAAACCATTATACGAAAAAACATTACGATAAAAATGTTTTGTACAACAATCAAAATAAATATAAATGCTTTATTTTAAGACAATATTGTCATAGTTATTTTTATCAACAACAACAAAAAAACTTATATTAAATTTATAGTTAAAATATCAGTTAATTAAAAAAGTTCATGAAAAATGCAATGATTAAATTATGGTACGTATATACCATATAAAAACTAACATATATATTTTTAAAAAGTAATCATTGTTTTGGAGTACTAATAAAATTAAAGCTATAGATAAGTTTGAGCTTTCTAAAATATAATATTTCAGAAAATACAGTAAGTACTTTCATATATTATTTCAATAAATTAATTGATAAAACTGATTATTATATTAATAAGTGTAAGATTCGATAACAGGTTTCTGAGATCCAAAGTTAAGAATCACAGTTCAGTTTGTGAGAAGACTTTGAAGATTTTTGGCCTCCTGAAACCCTGAATAAAATTGTTTCACTCTTTCATCCATTTGTTCTTCAGAATTTGAAGAAAATGCAGTTAAATTTTCAAAATTGAAATGTTCTGCATACCGAGCCATTACAAATAATATAGCAACTCCTAAAGCTATACCAATATTCTGGATTAGGAACACTTTCAGTTGTTTTTTTATACCCTTTTTGCGAGCTTCTTCTAAAGCTTCTGACAATTCCCCCAACTGAAAAGAAATATAAATCATACATTACAGAACATAAAATTATGTCAAAATAATTCAGATACTTTTTTATATCATGAGAATGATACAGTAGAATTTTGATAAACAGATTATCTATGTTGCTGATTATTACTACTTTTTTATCCCTCATTCTCAATGAAAGAATGTGAAGCAATCTAAATATAAAATTAAAATTTATGCCCATTCGCCCCTATTTGTTTCAATTAAATTTTAATGTTTTCTATTCTTTCAATGGCTATAGGTAATCCTATAACTATAAAGTGTTCCTATAACTATAAGTATATATACCATTATTTTCCATAACGTTTGGAGATTTTATATTAAAATTTGTATAAATCCCCTCTAAAATATTCCCACATTCAACCATCTTAGCTATGCGAGACACGATACTCATGCTGTTGAATAGAAATATATGATGAAGAAGAAAAAAATATGTAAGCCATAACCCTACTTTCTGCAGAAAAAAGTTAAGAAATTTATTTTTAATTTATTTTAAATTCATTAAAAATATATACAGTCTTAGTGAAAAAATAACATACTACAAAAATTCTGAATATTTATGTTATAAATGTAACCTTGTAATTCACATCTAAAAAAAGAAATAATTTAAAATATATAAAGAATATGTTCAATCCAAAATCTGGTGCTTATGGTGTTTTTAATTCCGCCTTCAATTTAAGTTCAATGCCAAGAACAATTTAAAAAGAATTCAATTGAGTTTGACCCAAAAATTTAAGTACCTAGATGGAGGAAAATCAAAAGATAAATTTCACCAGTTCCCTGACTATGCTAAAGGATGTTGAAATCAATAAAGAAAGAATATGAAAACATTAAGTTAATATATAAAATATATACCTTTATGTACACATATACTTTATGTACATAAAAGATTGCATGTGTAATATTTATTATGTGATACATATTACATATGAATACATAATATATGTATGTATCACATATTATATTTTGACCCCATAAAACAAGAAATATTAAAACTTACCATGTCCACAAGGGAAATATACAAAAACATGCCAGCAGCCAGAGCAAAAATGTAAGGTGCACCTTCTGCAAAATCACCAAGTAAAATACCCATAACTAGTCCCAAATAACAGGTAATTGCAGATAGAAAATTATATAATAAGGCTTGACGCATCGTCATACCAGCACTTAAAAGAACAGCAAAATCTCCTGTAACAAACAAAAAATTACAATTTATATGCTTTTTCAACTTTTTTCTTCACAATTCAACAATACGATTCAAAATTTATTTCTCTGTCTTAGGCTTTGTTGGCATTGATATTATTATTACTTATTTATAAATAATTTGCTTCCAATATTTACTTGAATTTTAAAAATATGAAAAATATACATGTTAAAAAATGCATGTAGTAGAGCTTAAGATAAGTAAATTCAAAAATACTTGAAAAACAATCGAAATTTAGAATTGAATTTCCACTAAACGGCTAGAAGTAGTGCAATTATCTTGCTGAGGAACTTTCGTGAGTGGCACACATAGTAAAAGATATTTAAGTCTAATCTCACACTTTTAATTGCAAACAACAGAATATTAAAAGTAAAGAACAATGTTACTTTTTGATTGTAACATTCTAAAAGGTATTAGACTGTAAAAATGGCACAGTAAGTGAGTGGCACAGTAAAGGATATTATTTAAGTCTAATCTCACACTTTTAATTGCAATCAACAGAATATTCAGAGTAAAGAACAATGTTACTTTTAGATTTTAAAGTTCTAGAAGGTTTTAGACTGTAGAAATGGCACAGTAAGTGAGTGACACAGCAAAAGATATTTAAGTCTTTTCTCACACTTTTAATTGCAATCAACAGAACAGTGCAAACAGAATATTAAATGTAAAGAACAATGTTACTTTTAGATTGTAATGTTCTAGAAGGCATTAAACTGTAAAAATTTTAATGGAAACAGATTTTAAGTCAAACTTATTTAAAAATATAACTTTATTACAAAAGATTTAGAGTAAAAAATATCATTCTTAATCTTTTAACTACTTTAACATGTTTTTGAAAAATTCAATTTTTTATTCAATTGTTATTTTTAAAAATATAAATTAGAAACAAATCTGTGTAAAGCAAACTAAAAGTTATAATTTTTAAATTTCGTTTTCTCATTTTTTTTTTAAACAAACCTCTGAAGACAATTTATACCATATAATCTTTTTTTTCTATACAGATCTACAGAAATTCAAATTATGCAATTAGCAGTTTTACTATTTATACTGTTTGTTTTTAGAGTTTTTAAAATTTAGTTTTAATGTTGTTTAAGTTGGCAAAAAACTGATTTGGATGAGAATGAAAAAATTGTAACATAAATTATACAGAAACCAAGGTATTTTTTAAAAACAAGCAAATCAAATACCATATATTCCGGTGCATAACGGGCCCAGGCGTATAACGCGCACTCGCAATTTCGAATAACTTTTTTTGAATTTTAAGATGTGCTCTTCGTATAACGAGCACGGAAATTTGGATTGTACCTGTGCAATATCTCGTCTAGTATCAATAGAAAACCAGAAAGCCTTTTAGTGTGGGACATGTTTAGGTCCCACCTTACACATAATACAAAAAAATTGTTGAAAGAATGTAACACCGATATGGCAGTTATTCCGGGCGGATTGACACCATTAGTTCAGCCATTGGATGTTTGCTTAAACAAACCATTTAAAGCCAATTTAAAAAAACAGTGGAATACTTGGATGTTGGAGGGCGAGAAAACCTTTACGAAAGGAGGACATATGCGTCATGCAAGTTTGGAAACAGTGTGCGAATGGATATTAAAAGCATGGGATGAAATTAAGCCTGAGATGGTTAGAAAATCATATTAAATATTATTNACAGATTGTGATGACGTGCCTGAAGAAATAACGGAAGACGAATATAATGAACTATTTATGTAATAACGAAAATCAATAAAGTATATAGGTAAAGGTATGTTATTTCTTTAAAATAAAAGTATTTTTCTATATTTAAATTTTTTTAATCTATAATTTTTTATATTCGGAGTATACCGCGCACCCGTAAATTCCAATGTTATTTTATGTATAAAAGTGCGCGTTATTGCCGGAATATACAGTATATAATATTAAATAAATGTTCTGAAAAAAGTTCAATTTCAGTATTGTAATAATATAATTTTGTCAGAAAAATACTTTCCATTTTAATTAGGACGTGGAATTCATGTTTTACATGTTTCAAAAATATTACAATGTTGAATAAATATCAGTTTAAATGGGAAAATGTAATAGAGATTATTAAATACATGTTTAACTTCTCTCTGCTCTGCCTAGGTAATTAATTGAGTTAATTCACGGTGGAAAAAAAAATAGAGACTGACTCATATTGAACTAATAAAACTATACCTAATTCATGGGGAAATTCTTCACAGATCACAGCTACAGATATACTGACGCCGGCTAGTATGCTCTCTGAAAAAGCTGCACCAATTGAAAGACCATCAATAAAGTTGTGCAATCCATCACCAAATATTATCATCCAAGCAACTGTACCGATAGCGGATTGTCCCTTCTCAAAATGAATAGTATGTTCATGATGATGAGTATGATGATTATGAGGAGGCTAGAAAATTTGAAAAATAATTCAATAAAATCTAATACTTAAACACTTATCAAATAAATTTTACTAAGAAATAAAATTTTTTGTAGTTCTTATTTGTAAAATGCGAAGTTACAAGAGTTAAAAACTGAGTGATTCGGATAAATTCAAACAAATAATCTAAAGTGTGTAAAGTCAGTGAAAGTTCAAGAATATCCATTTATTGTTGTTGCCGTGTCTATGCTAGTGCAAAGATTAGAGTCCTCCAAAAGTCTTGATAACAAGGTTTGCAAGTTCTGGAGCCTGATGGCCATGGAGAATTTCGATGGGAGGTGCTCCAAGTTGAAAGAGGGAGCCGATAATGGCCTGGCAGTCAAAAACATGGTCTGGATATCCATTTATTAAAAATAAAAAAAAATAAAAAATAAAATTTGCATGAATTTAAAACAAAATGTGTATAATTTAGTTTTAAACTATAGTATACACATATTTGTTATTTAAATCAAAACATTTATCATTATCAGAACAAAAACATGGTTAATACATAAAGGGGTTGCAAAGGTTTTTGTAAAGAATATTATTTTAAATCAAGATCAAAAGAAAAAAGGGCCTTGAAGAAAGTCAGAAATTAAAAATAATTAATTTCTTAAAAATCCAAAAAAATTAAAAACTTTTATAAAAAAATTTATTTAAATTTTTTCTTTTAAATAATAAAATATTCTAAGATATTTTATTTAAAAAAAAACTATTTCTGAAAATTGAATTGCTTTCAAAAAAATGCCTTATTATTTTATTTACTAATAATTTTAAATAGAACATAAAAACTAAGTGCATTATCTGAAGAAAAAAATATGTAAACAATAGCATTGCTTATAAAATAGTTTTGAATAAACTTGAATCATCATGAAAAAGGATGCTGGCTAGAGATTAACAGCTCAACTCACAACCGTTATAAAAACAGAATTATTAAAAAAAAGTATTATCATATAACAAAAATCTGCAAAGACTGCCATTATGAGATAACAACATTTTGATTAAGTTTTTCTAAGCACAAAGAACAATTCCTTCAATACCAGTAAAAATTCTATCTTTTCATGCATAACTTGAATCAAGATTTTTAAAAACCAAAAATGTGACTTTTTTTTTCCTCCAAAAAATACATCATTCCAAGAAATTATTTTACTTCATCATCTGAGATAGTTTTGAGCTCTCATTGATCAGTTTCTAACAATTAACTAAAAACAATTCTTTCAATTCAAGTAAAAATTTATTCTGCATAGCATTTCAGTCCATAACTTGAATCAAGATTCTTAAAAACAAAAAAAAATTAACACTTTTTCCCCAAAAAATGTATCATTCCAAGAAAATTATCTTACTTCATCATTTGAGAGAGTCTTGAGCTCAAATAAGAACTCAGTGATCAGTTTCTAACTACAGTAGAGCGCCGATTATCCGAACTGCTCGGGACCGAACGTGGTTTGGATAATGAAAGGTTCGGATAATTGGAAAGTTGTTTAAAATCTAGTTTAAATGATTATTATTTATGCACTAACTTCCCTTCACACTTTTTCTAGGCTTAAGATCTGGCAGCACTATCTAAAATAGCTCTGGCGTGTTTAGAAGTTTTTTTTTTCAATTTTTAAAAATTTTTTATTTATTTATTTTTTTACTTTTTTTTCATTTTGAATTATTTTTTATCATATTTCAGCTTTTTATGAAAATTTTTTTATCAATTACTGATTTTACCACATTTTTCTTTATTTTCTATTGCAAAAGAAATCCAGCAAAGACTTTTGTTTCAAAGAAGATGCTCTTTTTTGAGCAGCCATGTCCCTTATTCTTTTTAAATAAATCAACTGAACTGGATCAACATCATTTTGACGTTCTAGCCAATTCATTGCAATATCTAATGAATTGCTTGCTTCTATATGAGAAGGTCCACTATCTTGAACTTGATCACCAACTTCTTCCTCTTCGTCTGCGGAGTTCCGATTTTCATTCAAAATTTCAGCAACAATTTCATAATTTTAAATTTGAAATCCTGGGTCGTTTCCAGTGTCTTGACACCAGTCTTCTATTTCTACTGCTGTATAACATGGCATCTTTTCATCCGGAAGATCTATTGGTTCAGAAACTTCAGTTTCGTCTGTTTTACTGTTGAGAATTTTATTCCAAGATTTAAGATTCCAAGCACTGTAATCACTAATCATTAACCATAAGTGACAACTACCCATCCCCTAATTGTAAAACTTCCGCACATATCTATTCATAAACTCCTTCTTCATTCCAACCATTGTAGACTGTCAAAAGCTTGCATTCTTGGAAGATAATTTTCAGTTGAAGAGGGCTAAGGGGTATGTAGGTTTAACTGTATAACAATACATGTATTGACTGCTATAAGAAAACTGCTAAAAAAGGTTTTAAATTGAATGTGGTCTTCAGATGTAATGGATATTATTTATTCTTCTAAATTTAAAAAAATTGTCGATAAGTTAACAAGTATTCTAAACTTTAAAAAAAAAGAAGCGAATTCGGACATAGTTCAAATAATTGGACGTTCAGATAATGGGCGCTCTACTGTATTGACTCAGGGTGATTCTTTCAATTCAAGTATAAATGTATTCCATGTAGCATTTTAGTGCGTAACTTGAACCAAGATTTTTAAAAACGAAAAATTAACACTTTTTTCCCAAAAAAATGGGTCATTCCAAGAAAAATTTCTTACTTCATCATCATCATTTGAAAGAGCTTTGAGCTCAGATGAGCTCTCATTGATCAGTTTGTAACTATTATGATTACTTAAATTTTCAGCAGTAAGAATTTGTGGAGTGGAATTTGTTCTTGCTTTATCATATTTTCCATTTTTTACCAACCCATTTCCAGAATGATTAGTTTCTGGTAAAGGCTTTAAAAACTCTGCAGAATTGTCACCATATCCCAAATTTGGTTTTCTAGATTTTCTTGCCTGTAAAATAGAATGTTACATTAACTATTGCAAAAACTAATTCCATATAATTGAATATCTTATAAAATCAAGAGCTTATTCTTTTAGCAAACAATTTTTTTCTCCAATTCTATATAATAAACACTTAACTATTTTAATATATGGAACAAAGTATAACACACTTATTTTTATTTTTAAAAGTTATTTACATTTAATAATTATTAAAAAATCTAACTATGTATAATATCAGAAGAAAAAAAAGAATATGTTTTAATGAGATTTATATTTAAAGATGTTAAAAGATTAAATTTATGAAGAAACTGTTTTTTGAATTTTGTGAAACTGTTAGCACATATTTTTAAAGGTTTATATTTTAATTCATTTTGAAAATTGTATCGAAAACTTTGCCATTAAACTTGGAGTCATCTAGTAATACCTACATTATTATAACTAGAATTTAATGATTTAATTTTAGAAAGTTTAACTTAAAAGCAAAAAAAATATTATTATCTACCCCACTTTTTTCTTGTTATTTCTATACACTGATTTATCATTCTAGCATTTAATTTTTATACAGAGTAATTTTAATGCACACAAAGTAATTTAATTTTTCTATTAATGAATTAAATATTTCTCAATGAATTGTAAGCAACCCTTTAAAACTGTTCTACAATTGCTAAAAAAAAATTTGTATATTGTATAGTAATTTAGCTAGTAATTAGTTCCAATACATTATTTAAATATGTTCCACTTAATTCAAATAATAAAGACTGCACAAATACTGTCTTTATATTATAATAATAGTAAATTTAATGACTACATCAAAATGATTCATCAAAAACATTGTATTACAATACTTAGCTTTTAAATTTACATAAAAATTTAATGTGAGAAAAATTTAAAATGAAAATTTTCAATGAGCCTTTAAAATAATTCAACAAATCTGATACCAGTAAACTTAAACAATCGCAATGCACTCACCTTTTTAATGTCCATAATAACTTTCATAAATCTTTCACTAACATAAAACAAGTAAATTCCACCAAAAATAAGAAGTGAACGCCATAAATAATTATGTTCTTTGTCTTGTCCCACAAGTTTGAAAGTCTACAAAATTAAAAATGTTTATATAATGAAAAAAAATTTTTTTAAATAAATGATTGCAGAATAGAATAATTTCAAAATTAAAACAAAAAAAATTTAATAAATTAAAATACAAATAGATATGTATATAACAATTTATTTTTTAATGTATTTTAAAATCTAACATATTGCTTCGCTATAATTCCAAAAAAGACTTTTTCTTCGATTATTTCAATTCTATAAATATCCAAAATAGAGTTTCGATAATGGTTAAAAATAAGTACAAAACATTGTTTTGAATTGAATTAAAAGTAGGGGGAAATGGCACAAAGTTCAAAGACTATTTTGAGGCAAATAAATATCTCAACAAAACAAGAAATACTTTAGCTATATACTTTGAAATACTTTGAAATACTTTAAATATATATTTTAGCAGCAGTAATTTAGAAGACTGAATTCTGCCAATAAAAACAAATTACAATTGATTTTTTCATGAAAAGAAACGACGTTGACAAGAATAATCTAATGATCAAAGCAAAAACAAGTCGAAATCTGTGAATATTGAATACAAAAGTTAAGAGAACATTGCACAATAGTTTACGTAGCATAAATCAAAAAAAGATACTTAAAGTCATCTAAATAAATTTAAATTTGACAAGTTAGATCCATCAGTAAAATATATAGTCTGAAGCAAAGACAAAAATAAGAAGTATAATAAAGAAAAGTAAATAAAGAAAAAAATATTAAAACATTAACAGGAAAAAGCAATGAATTAATCAAACTACAGAATAAATAAATATTTATTATTTTTTATGATTTCAAATATTCTTTTTCTACTATCCATCTGGAATTAACCATTAAAATATCATAAAACTTTCAATAATTAAATTTTTGAAACATAATGTATAAAAACAAAGGGCATAAATTTAAAAGATTAAAAATGGGATAACCCCTAAAAAATGAAATTTTTTCCTTCATCGATAATTTAATAATTATACATCTAGACATCATAACACTGCAATCTGACAGCAAATTGTAGATGCCATTTTTCATTCCAAAAAATTTTAATTAAAATAAATCATTAAGACTAAAAACATATCATGAACAACTAAAACTTGAATTTCTTTAAAGCAATTTGGATCTCTTTAAACACATTTTCCATATATATTTCATGCTTAATTTCCCTTATAATTGCTAAATAATTAGACAAAACCTATCAATGATGAATAAGAACTTTAAAGTCATTTTCACTAGCTAATGATGCATAGTTAAAGGTCTATCATCATTTAATTATTAATTTTAAAAAAATTTGGAAATTTTTTAATTTTTTTTTACCTGTGGTATAAGGTGAAAGAGTGAACTTCCCACTAAACTCCCAACAGCTAAACCTTCAAACAGCATTAGGACAATTTGATAGATATTTTTGCTCAATAACGGTAATATTATCACACCAACCAAAGAACAGCAACTGATAATAGTCACAAAAAGGAGACCATAGCCCCAAACTGTAAAAAGAAATGTTTAAACTTAGAAAAATACTTAATTCATGAAAAACACATTTTTAGTTGCTAAAAATAAAATAAAAATTCATAATGTTAATATTTTTTATTTGTTTTATACAGTAGCATTTGAATATACAACAATTGACTGTACTATTATTGACTAGTATATAACAAACACATGAAGAAAAAAGATTAAGATTTGTTTTATGCTGACACAAAATTTTATGTCAGTATTAAACAAATCAAAATGCAAAACATATCACTAAGTCATTACAAGTCAAACATACTGGAGATCCTGAATTTTCTCTGTAGCTTATTAATATCTGTCATAAAAACTTCTAGTCACAACTAGACGTTCTTTAAGATGTATCCCTGACAACGTCTCTCCCACATAAAACACAGTTAGGGCATGAAAATACAGAAAAATGGAGGGTTTAAAAAATTCTTCTTCAGGACACAACTTTTTCGGAATGAATTTTTGAATCAAATGTAAATATCCTATGAAGAGAAAACCCGTTCAATTCAGTGCTGATACCTTTAAGAGCAGGTAAGAATCAAAACTGAGCAAAAATAAAATTCCAAACAGATTCTACCACAACTTTGAGTAAAAATGTGGAACAAAAATTTAGCAAATAAAGAAACCGAGTATAGCTGAGTAGTGTTTTTCTGACTTGGTGGTAAAACGTTCACAAGCATTTTTTCTTATTAAATATCTGTAAATGAATTAGAATTAAAGAGAAAAAGAAATAAAAATCAAATAGTATCATCATCTGTATACAAATTTTAAAACTATATAAGATAAATAATCTCTTTGTAAATAATAATGGTTTAAATTAGTGATCTCATATAAAATTATTTTTATAATCTATTTGATATTTGTATACAAGAAATATCAAATACAGATGATAATAAATGTAGATACATAGATAATTGTTATTAACAAACTTTGCCATCAGATGTGGGCACAATCCTTTAATAAATATACTAATAATGTAGGGTTGCACATAAGTAAAAAGAAAAAAACCAAACTATAAGAATATATGCAAAATCTCAGAGAAAACTAAAAATTGATGAAGACAAAATTGACGGTATAAGAGAATTCATGCATATTGGCTCTGTCCCTGACAGAAGTAAAAGTAGAGTCACATATTGAGAACAGAGTCATCCATACAAGAACATCTTTTAGAAGCCTCGGAAAATTCTGGAAGCATTCAATGCTGACCAAAAATAAATATCTATAAAATAGTCAAAGTAATTTTATTATATGGTTCTAAAACAAGTGCTTTAGAAAGTTAGGCATTCGAAAACTTGAGGTCTTCAAAATAATTATTTTTGAGAAATTTTCAAAATTTTTTAGACAATTTTACTTTTCTTGGGCCCCTGACAGCAGGAAAAAAAGGAGAAGACCAAGAATCACTTGGCAGAGATAAATGAAGCCAGGTTTCAAATTTAAAGAAGAAGAAAATTTTAAGCATTAGAGAAAGCCAGATCGAAAACCATAGAGAAGTAGACTTACAAAATTGAATTGAGGGAAATTATGGTATGATCCAGGCCCGTAGCCAGGGGGGGACCATCGGGACAAATCCCCCCCCCAAATTCTGGGATTCAAACTTTTTAGTCTTTCTTTGAGCCCCTCAGTAAAAAGAAAAACAAAAATTGTCAAATCAAACCTTTTATTAACTAACTTTATTAAGCATATTTCGGGAGATATTCTGGTTTGTCTTAAAAAAGTAATCGAAAAATTTTCTTCAAATCCCCGTCGCATGCCTTTGTAAACTTTGTTTACAATACTGTTATTATGTATAATATTAATTGAATGTAATATTAATTTTCTTCAAATCCCCGTCGCATGTCTTTGTAAACTTTGTTTACAATTCTGTTATTATGTAATATTAATTGAATGTAATATTAATTTTCGTCAAATCCCCGTCGCATGTCTTTGTAAACTTTGTTTACAATACTGTTATTATGTAATATTAATTGAAAAATATGTATTATGTAATATTTTTAATTACTAGTTTAACTTTTGCAATTAACAGAATAAACAATATTTGTTGCAATGTTTTTTCCCTACTTTGCATGTCTGAAACTGTCCTTGCTTCTTACCATATCCCCCCCCCCCGAAAAAATATCCTGGCTACGGTTTGGTATGGTCTAACTTTACTGAATAACAGGGACAAGATTAATCTAGTTGAAAAAAGTGAAAGGAGATCTATATCAGTATTTTCTGCTTCTTCAAAATGTATTTTTTTGGTATATATATTACAAAAAATCTATTATTATCTATGTTACAAAAAAAAAGAGATTGCTTTTAAGAAAATGTAAGTTCCGATAAAAAAAGAAGAGAAATGAAATCAATCTTATTTCTATACCTGCCATTGTTGACGGTCTTAAACTGGGAGGGTCATTATCTCCAGATGAACAAGCACCATTATGTAGTTGCAGTAAGAGTAAAGGACACACTCTTGCTAATGCCTCACTAACACTTTTAGTTGATGGCGGAACAAGCTGAAGCATATCATTTGCTGATAAACACTATAATACAGATACAAATGATGATGAATAGGAAAAGAAAGGGAATCATCAGCGCATTTATTAAAAAAGCAGAGCAAAATAATTACAGCTTTTTTTTTTGACATATTAAAAAAACTTAGGTAACACCGAGAAAAAACCATTACTAAAAACTATCCTACATAACACTTTCCAGTGATCATTTTTCACTTCAACAAATAAACCTGCTTACAAGAAATCAAAATGAGTTTTTTTTTACTTGCACATATTTGAAGTAACTATCAGTTTTTGTATGTACCAAATCCACTAAATATTTCTTGTGACGAATGAAGATATCCCTTAATATTTTTGGTCAGGGTTTTGACAGTTAAGCATTTTGAACTTTTAGTTATTTGTATTCAAATGTTATACAAAGCAACGCCACAGTTATTATATACTTTAACTTTTCATTTTTGAATTAATAACATCTTAGATAAATTAAAAATTATCTTTCTGTGTAAAATAAATTAATATCTAACTTAGCTATATGTCTGAGATTTTTCTATTTTTAATGAAACTTAATTTATGTTTGCATTGAGGCTTTTAGTGTTAGTTCCATCTTGTTCTGAACTTTAAGATGCAAGCTATCCTGCATTTTTTAATTTAAAAAATATATATATTATTAAATTGGGAAATAGGACATTTCAACAAAGTTTTATGAAGAATATCAGAATATCAATGCTTTAATTGTTTTAAGTTTGGGAAAGAATAAGTAAATGTAACAGATATGTAACACTTTCAAATAAAATGAATAGTAAAAAAAAAAAAAAAAAATTAATAATTGAATTATTATTATATAAAAAATTCAGAAGTAAAGTTAATCAATCTAAGAATGCTAAAAAACTTGTTAGTTGCAGATTAATATTTGTTATTACTGCATACTTTTAGAGTCATAGTAAACAAGCTCCAGAAACTGAGTTATCTCGAAACACTCAAGAATTTCCCAAAGACAGGGAATCAAAACACATTATAATACCTTAACATAATAAAATGCAGTACTTTTCCATTTCGCCGGGTCAGGCGATTAAGTTGCCTATGCAGACTTACTGAGTGCAAGTAAATTCAACTGTTTTTTATTTATTTTAAGGTCAATTTTTTTTTTTTCATAATAAATAGATAGATAAAATAGTCAAAGTTACTTGTGCCGGCAAAATGAAAAAGTACCTAAAATGCAAAAATGCTAACATACAAGTGCAAATAAATGAGTCATATGTGATGCAAAATTAATTTATAGTCCTTTATGCGATATAAAATTTAGTGTTGATCTTTAGTGCACATTTGTAAACATAGTTAAGATAATATAGCAGCAAGCATAAATATAGTCGTGGATGCTTTTTTAAAATTAATTCTTGAAAAAAATATATATTATGCACAAAATTATTTGTAAGAGCAAATATAACCAGAAGAGATTTATTATCCAAGAAAAATATTTCCCATACTTCTTACTCTTAAAATGATAATTATTAATACTATTTGTATTCGTTATTATATATTGTTTTTCATGCATGTCAAGGATATTTAAAACTGTTTAGCATTTTCTTTTTCCTTCGAGCAAAATCATCCTGTTATCAAAGAATTATAAATTAACAGAAACTTTTGGATTATGTGCGCAGATAGTGTATTTTTTTTACTCTGCTTGTAAACAATCAATAATATTTAAAAGTAGGCAGTTTCATGGTTCATTTACCAAATAATAATAAAAGCATCCACTTTTCGTATAATTTCAAAATTAAAATTTCAAAGCACTTGATCTCCTAACAGTATATATTCAAATTCCCTAATAATAAGTATTAAGAGCCAGGATAGCCTGGTTGGTAGGGCACCAAGAGGTCGTGGGTTCGATTGCAGCCAGCCGAAGACTCCCCGTGTAAAAAATGGTGACTGATGCACGTTAAAATCTGTTGAGTCACAAAGTTCTTCATGTTCCCATAACAAATAATACCTCTGGGGGTGCTGATCCAGGAGTTTCCTTGTCTTCTGGATTGGTTCAAAATTACATGCTACGGAGTTGAACATTAGTAGTTGTAAACCCAAAATTGGATCGGCTGTTCAAACGATGGTTATAAAATAAAATTAAAATAATAAGTATTAACACAAATCACAAAATTTTTTTAGACTTCGAATAATAATATCTACATCAGAAATATGCATTTGGATTATTATTTTATTTTGTTTTAAATAAATAAATCTAATAATCTTCAAAATAAATTTAGTAAATCAATTAGACAAGTAAAATATTAAATTAACATATATTAAATATTAATATATTTATTTACCTTGGAAAAAATTCCATCATCACACAAATGTCTAGGGAGAAATGGATATTTTGATAAAGATGAACAATTAAGAGTCACCGGTTCTTGCGTGTAATTATGACTCTGTAGGTCCTCTAATAACAAAGCAAAACTTTGAGTCACGTTTGATGAATTAGAATAAGCTGATTGTGGATGATGCTTAAGAAGAGCAATTTCAGATAATGATTCTACTGTTTCTAGGTTGTCTATGGTTACATTGGCATAACAGGAAAATTTCTGAAGAAATCCATACAAGATAAATATACATAGAAGCAAACAGAGCTTTGATATCCCAAACATGTTTAATGTTTAAATTTAAGAAGTCATTTTATGCCAGCATAAACCTGGAATAAAAACACAATTTAAGAAACAAATGAAAACAAGATCAGTTCTAGAAGATGTCAATATCTGTAATGATATAATAGTATATCGGTAATCATACTATGATCAAATAATTTACTAGCAATTACAATATTTCATCTACAAGAAAGTTAATTTCTTTAAAATCCATTCTTAGCTAAAAAAAGTGAAACTTATATAGGATATTTTTAACCTTCTAGCAGCTATGCAAATTCAAGCGAATATTTATACATATTTCCTTATCTAAAAACAAGTAGAAGTTGCTTTTTCCATGCAAAAAAAAAATTATACGAGTTAAATGTCACCTTCTACTTATAGAACAGGAATACATTTCGTACATGTTACAAGTTACAGCTAATATATACAGAACGAGAATTAATATGTACTTTATTGAAGCATTGTATTGATTGACAAATGCTCTATGGGTCTTTAAGCAAAGTATGAAACAAAAATGAAAAGACTATTATTTATAAAATGTTTACTTCACAAAATTACAAATATTTTTTTTTTTAAAAATATTTGCAATTTTGTGAAATAATTATTTTTTTTAAGAAATTTGTAAGAAATTATTTTTTTAAAAAAAATATTGAAAAATTGACAGTTTATGCATGCCATTGGCAACGGATGAAACACTGGCACTCTGTAGAATAGCTAAGCAATTTCTGGAATACATGGTGTATTTACATTGCTGGAGTATCATTCTATAATGCCTAGGCAATGTGTGAAATATTTAATTGTTTCATATTCAAAAGGGCCATATTTTGAAAAGTTTAAAAGGTCTGATTTTCAACATTGCTAGTAAGATACACATTTATACAGGAAAAATTTTTGGTAATAATTGTTTGGAAAATATTCCTTTAAAGGAATATAGTTGAGAATATTTTTGAAATTATTTACAATTATTTATTTAAAATTATTTACAATGATGGTATGTTTTAAATATTTAAATACTACAGTGGAATAAAATAAATTAAAATTAAAGAAGTTTTTGTAAACTTAATTGCTTTGAATAAAATAAAATTTCAAAAAATTGCTTCCTTAGAACAATTTTAACCCTTTGCACTTCAATGTCGCCTCCGAGACGCCATCAACAGCTACCACTCTAAAATTAAATGTTTCATACCTTATTAATTAATAATCACAAGCTTAAATTAGTATTTCAAGAATTTTAAAATTCACATAAAAATACTCTATTATGTATTTTAAATAATTTAGGGCTTACATTTGTTCAAACAGCATTTTAAAGTACTCAGAGTGCAAAAGGTTAGTTAAATAAATTGCTCTTAATTGCAATACATTTGAGGCATAAATGATGTCATCAAGGATATTTTTCTTAAAAACTGATTGTGATTATTCACAATTATTTAATCAATACATAAAAAAAAACATCAACTTTTTAGTTTGGAATGTTAATTAGTTTTAACTGTCCCAATTAAAAAGCATTTACAAAAACTGAATAAAGTTGTCTAATGAAAATTCTCAAAGTAAAAATTATTATTTTAAGTTGAGAATATCAAAGATAATTTTATTATCATGCTATTAATACTGATTAATTAAATAGCTATCATATAATGATATAATATTTAAAAAGCATAATTTTCTAGGTATACTCTTTATTTATAGGAAGTAAAAAATATTTTCTATTATTCTACAAACATTGACTTAATAAAACGTTCTCTTTCTCCGAAAATATTGTCAAGAGAATAATTCTTGCCTCTAAGATCTACAAACCATAGATAAACTAAATATGTAAACTTCCTAAATATGTAGGATATCAATTTTGTAAATGAATCTAGCGTTTTCTGTGTAAGCTAAAAAATGAGAAAAATTAATTAAGTTGAAAATTTCCAGTTATCATTATCGCTAATCAATTTTATTGAAACCAAAAGCTTATACCATTAAGGAACATTTGTACCTAATGGAAAAAATGTTTAACATTTAACATGCAAAAATGATAAATATATATTTTCAGTTCCCCAGTAATAATAATGATTCGGATCAAATTTTGTTTCTATCATAGGCAATGTAAGTAAAATCTAGCAAAATTTTAGATCTTTATTTGTAGGTAAATAAAAGGGAAAGTAATAGTGAAATATCACGATATCTAACATGAATAGAAAGAAAAATTAATGAGCAAAACTTATTTTTATCGCTACTATCACTATTTATGATCGCTTAGTTAATCAAAATATTTCCCTAAAAACATTTTAAATTGAGGAATAATCATTTTCTTATATTTTTTTTGAGCAAGACTAAATATTTTTTTACGAAAATAAAGCAAAAGAATTATATTTTTACCAAATACAAACCCTCTTACAGATAAAAGTAATAATTCATCAACATACAACTGAAATAAACAAATTATAAATTTTCACTCGCTTGTTTGGATGTTTATGAATGAACCGCATTCACACAAACTTGAAATTTCATACATAAACAAAAAACACACTCTCACACCCACTTCCACTGCCGGTGTTTCCAGCAACCAATCAAATTTCAGCATCATGTCATTGATTGGATTGATCTTATGGTTGATTGACCAATGGTTCTGATTCAATCAAACATCAAGGCACCCAAGGTTAGAAGTAGGGAGGGGGGAACTAATCGGCAATAAATCTAAGGACTTCTTATTTCAAGAATTTTTCATTAATTTATATTTTTATGTTTCACGGAATATATTAAATTGGTTTGAATCATTATTTCCGTAAGTCATATTAATTTGAAGAGAACCTGTAAACTATATTCATAGATCTAAATCTAGACATTATAAAACAAGCTAAATTTAATTTTCATCAAATTAATTAAATAATTACAAAAATTTCCTAAATAATTACAAAATTTTAAATTGAAAAAAATCTTTTTCCTTCTATAATTTTTTTGAAAACCTAAATACGCTACATTTTGTTTTTAGCAAAAATTAGTCACCACAAAAAAATTTAAATAAAAATTATATGTTTATGATTTACGGAATCTATTGTCTTGAATCATTATTTCCGTATGTCTTTTTAATTTGAAGAGAACCTATAAACTATATTCATAGATCTAAATCTAGACATTATAAAACAAACTAAATTTAATTGTCATCAAATTAATTAAATAATCACAGAAATTGCCTAAATAATTACAAAGTTTTTAATTGAAAAAATCTTTTTCCATCTATAATTTTTTTGAAAACATAAATACGCTACATTTTGTTTTTAGCAAAAAATAGTCACCACAATAAATTTTTTAAAGAAAATAATTCATTTAAAAAGGTTTTTTTCTTCAATTATTTATTTTCAAAGCTTTTTGATTCGGAACATAAAATAACTAAAGTTTTTGCATTAAAAATTACGATACTTTAATGTTACATAGAATCTATTAATTAATTTGAGCTTTAGTGCTGAATTGAGCCCAATAGCTGAAAATCTCATAGCTAATATAAGGCGAATATTTAATGCATAGAAAAAATTACGACAAAAATAAAATCTTTTTCATTTTTATCAAAAATTTATAAAAAAAAGTTTAAATTAAAAAAATGAATTTTATTAAGATTTTGCCCTCTAACAATTTATTTTTGGAGGTTAGTTGTTGGAAAGGGGAAATTCAAATGTAACATTTACGTAAGCATATTTTTTGCATTTTCGGACTATACCCCTCNTACCCCCCCCCCCCCCCCCTGTCAGCAAAAATAGGCAAATGACGAACATAAGCCCAAGTTTCTGTATGTAACTTGATTTAACTTTTGCAAAAGTTTTTAGACAAAAAAAAAAAAAAAAAAACCTTTTTGATTTTATTTTCTTTTTTTTTTTACAAAAAGCTAACAATTACTTAAATAATTGATGTTATATATTTGCGTATGTATCAATTAAAATAAAGACAACCGATCAAATTAAAAAGAGAAATGAAACTTAGTTAAAAACTAGTAAGCTTTTTTGATAAATTTGTAAACATTTCCCACACCTTTCCCTAGTTCACAATTACGTTTAATAATGAACATTTCAAACTATGCAGATGTAAAACTACAGCCTAATTAAGCTCAATTATAAAATGACAAAAAAATAAATTACAAAAATTTAAATTTAACCTTTTACCTGTAGGACTACTAATCCGCAGTAATGGGAAAAGTGCTTCTAAGAAAAAAGTGGTAGCAGATTTACACTGGATTGGATTAAAGTATGATGGGGTCTGAGGCTAATGCGTAATTGGGGACCGTCCCCTATCTAAAAGTTTCAAAATATTGAAACTTTTCATGACATTCTTTTTCAGTCAAACTGAAGTAGAATGATGCTCTTGGTCTGTAAGTTTTCTCTTTCGGAAGATTTCAATTTTCAAATAATTTATTGAAATTAGCCATGTTATAGTTTATTGCTTTGTCAAAGAAGTGTTTATTAATTTTCACAAAATAATGATAGAATTGAATGATAGCAAAATAATGATATAAGGAATACATTTTCAGGCCTCTGCGAATTGTTACATTTCTGATGAATCAGGATGATCTTGTTATTTTTCGAAGTATTTTTATTCTAGTACCTTGTTAATTTTTTTCATTTGAGTTTTTGTTTGTAAAGACATCATCGTATCATGCTTTCGTTGTAGTGGAACTGGGAGTCTCAGGCCATTACGGCCCTTACCGAGGCCGTAACTACGCCGGGGCACCACCCCGGGGCCCCGACGATCAAGGGGGTCCCATATGAAGAGACCACATCATGTTTTTCCAAAATACAGTACTCTAATTATATATATG